TCTACCTCTTCATGATCGTGAAACCCTCCTAACCACCTGCTAGAAATTTACATGGCGACAGTGCGTGAACTTTTGTGGACTGGGGCTGACAACTTGGAGATAAAAAATTTAAATATTTAAATTAGCAATGCATATGTTATGTTAATAGATTAATGGTGGTAGAAAAGGAAATAAACAGTTGGATCTAAACTAGCTGCCATTTTAAGTCTCTCTAAACAGTTCCTTGACCTTAATATTGCAAATAGCAACGTCATGGTGTAATTTAAACCGCCCACCTAGAAATTGTAAGCGCTTATCAATCTTTCATATTGATAGGTGATAAAAAGATCAATTTTTACCCTCTTTCCGATGTAAATGTACTCAGCTAGCTCAAGACTTCAAGATCCTCAAATCAGAACCAGAAATTGCAACTCGTGCTGTTTATGTGTTTCAGATTTCAAGCCATTTCAAATTCAATTTTCGTCTTCCCTCTGGTGTAGATTTCTCTAAAATAGAGTTAATTTATGTCCAATTTGTGACCCTAATTACGACTTCTTCTTTTGTTCCAGTGTGGCCAATGATTTTCCAATTTGCGTTGTTTAATTTGAATGACAAGTACGTTACCACTACGTCATTGGGACACTAATGATCTAGCTAATGTTTACAGTTCCCATGCGTTTAATGATGATGAGTGGCGGCTTCTGTGTCGCTGTTTGAAAGTGCCGCTGACTCTTTAATCACTTGCCGACAAAGACAAATGCTGATTGGGTGGAGGTGGGGGGGGGGGGAATAATTAGCCATCTAAGCACTTGGATTTCCACTGTGAATTCCGTTCTAGCATTCCATTTAACTGTGGGAAAATGGTACCCTCGATTAAGACCCTTTGGACATTGTGTTCATTCCCTAACTCCTTGTCAGCCTACGGCTCTCAGATCAAATTCCAGTGCTACCTCAGAAAAGGTTGTGGGAAACCCCTTAGACATGGAGCCTTAATGGACGTGCAAACAAATTCGAAAATCGCTGACTGTATATAGATAATAAGGGGTGCGCGATAGACTTACCTCTATGTGGTGCACCCTGGGTACCGTATACTAATATGGCAAAATTTTCTATTATTTGACTACCGATTTCAAACTACCATGGTCCGACTATGTAGAATTCGACCACTTTCACAGTACTCACCTTACCTTTTTCTCTACCCCTGTGTCTATCTCTTTTACATCTGTGGATCACTCTTCTGCTCCTCCAAATCGACTTTTCTCACTTTGATATTCCTCAACTTTGTAAACCCTGAAGTCAGCTAAAGGCCTAACGATGACTATCAAAACGCCTGTCATTTAATATAAATAAATATATTTATAACAATCGCAGAGCATAATGCGACATCTCCTTAAAAAAACAAAGGTCTCATCCTCTTGCCATATCTGTGCTCGTGAGTAAAAGTAGCCGAGGCAGTAGCCGAAGATGTAGATAAGTTAAAATTTTATTACAATTCCACTATAGTGGCCTGCCTGTGACCTAACGCCCGACCTCTGTTTATTATTTTTCCCCGTATAAAACTCATTAACCTTAGTTGACCTCATAATTTTATATGGCATGCTGTTAACTGTAATCGTCGAAGAAAATTCAAACTGGCTTAGTTTTGGAGGATTTTGAGTTGGAAGCCTAGCCAAGCGAATCACCGCGCCATTCCGCCTTTTTCAGTATCGCCCGACTCTTCTCTCGAACAATCCGCAACAGACGTTTAGGCTGTCGGAGGCGGAGAGTCGGTCACTCGCGGTGTAGGTAGGCCACTCTCTGGAAGTCACGTCATTTAACGCAGTTTTATTTAACTGAACTAGTGATTAATATGGCGGCAAGCAGAAATCGCCCAATTGGATACACGTTTAGAGGACGAATTATCGATAGGAATTTTGGTGCATATGCGTTTGCATTGTGTGCAGCACATTGAACCATGGCGACGACTTCGTGTGAGTGACTAAAAGAACAACTCAACTTAAGCGAACCCCCAAGCAGCCAATAAATCAGCTTCCCACTGTCTACCACTAACAGGAGTGGAATATTTAGTACTCAGGATAACTCGATTAACCACAGCTTCGTGTCAATTCGCCGACCGATTGAGAGTAGGGAATATTATTATTATTATATCAACTGGCAGGCTTTTTGATGGTTATCATTAGCCCTTCAGTTGACTTCAGGATTCACAGAGGGAACTAACATCAAAGTGAAAAAAGTCGAACGAGGGGGGGGGGAAGGAAGAGGAGAGTGTTTCAAAGATGTCAAAGAGACAGACACAATGGTAGTCAACTGCTGGTTTATTGACTTTTTGCCGTATAAGCATGCGTTGCCCAGGGTGCACCATGTGGAGGTATGTCTATCGCACACCCCAGAGTAGGGAATATAAGGTCAAAGAAACGGACACTTATTAATCTGAATTCAGTGTTTAATAACAGGGCATATTGTCCGGGGGCTATTTTAAGGCGTTGGCTACAGTGGCTAATTTGTGTGGCCATTTTGAAAAAAACACCCTGGAGGCCTAGTTAGCCGCCAACTCCCATTCTCGCATGGCATGTCGATGACGTCACCGGGCAACACGTAAATCCAAAAAGGAAGGGAATTCATCAAATGACTAATTGCATCAAGGCCCTTTCTGACGTTCACAAACATCCATGAGGCCAGAGAGAGAGAGAGAGAGAGAGAGAGAGAGAGAGAAATTGCAACATGGTGCAAGTTTGCAAATCTTCACTTTTTTTCATGTGAAATATGTATGTATTGTGTGGGGTTTTTCATGTTCACATTCAGATACAAAAAAAGAAACCAATAAAACGTGGCCTCTCTGTTGTGTGAAGTAGCATTCTATTTTCCTGAATAAAGTTGTTTCATTTTAGCCGATCCGCGCAGTCGCGCCATCGATGAAATGCTTTTTGTTTATCTTTAACGAAAATAAAAGGCGGTTATTTGCGTTTTTTAGTGCTAAAGGCGAGAAATCAAGGGAATCGGTCTGAATTTGGCTATTCGATATTCTCCATCGAAAGGAAATCGGAGGGAATCGTTCCACCCTGAATTTTTTTGTCCAAGGGGTGTTTAGAACTGCTGAATGGCTAAATTGCTTATCCGTGTGGTAGAGGTTAGAGATTCTACACCTAACGGTGCCCACCAAGAGTTAATGTGAGCTTTTCATTAGGGGGGAGGGGGGGCGGTTTCCATGGTGTTACCCTCCTACGCAGAATGAGTTTGGAAATGGTCTCCCAAACAATATATGGTGCTATTTATCAAACCCATACACTCAATGATTGACATCCAAGTGCATATTCAAGTGGACTACAAAATAGCGGCCTTGGGGCACAGGAAAGGTAACTTGGACCCATTCTGCTTAAAGTTCCATTTCTCCCCACTAGATAGAAATGATCAATGCGATTAGCCGCTCAGTAAGTGCACTGATAGACACCATTCAAATGGCAAAGGCTAATTCATATTTTGACACCCATAAAACTCATTAACCTTTCATGGAATGTAAGTGACAACAAGTAGGAGTGGTATAAGGCTCATTTCCCTAACGAGAGGGAGGAGGTGGGGGGGGGGGGGGGGGTGGACGGTGGTGGCAGGCTATTCCCCATTATCAATAAACAGTTTTGGAAATTGCTGCCTCCAATGTGTTTGGAATTGAAACAATCACGAGAATGTCAAGTACTGATTTGGCATAAACCTTTCAAACACTTCAATTGCTCAGCGTTCACACACACACTTGAGTATTATTCATTGTAATATAGGGAGGTTTCGGTACGAATTCTATGAAGGTGAGACGGGAAAGTATTGGCACATCGATCAATACAAATTCAAAGATTATCTGCATGCTGGAATGCTTCTTTGTCTAGCAGGTAGGAGCCACACGGATTATGTGAATAGACTGTGCGCACGAAATCATATGACCACTTGTCAACCCGATTTCTCCATCATGAAAAGAAGGGATAATTCTGAAACAGTGGCTGATCTGATAACTCTGGAACTTGGATAAAGTGGGCCTCTCCTGATTCCTTGACTCTCGTCTCCACTACTTCCTCTGAAATTCCTTCTCAAAATGTGATCAAACTCCCGCCTTATGGAACCACTGCTTCCTATTTATATTTGAATGCTTCCCCAGAGAGAAAATTGGAAAGATTTTTTTAGTTCTGAAGTGGAAAATAAAACCCAACTCTCCTACAGCTTTTTCTTACTCGCTCTCATGCCCCAATTCCCCACTGTCCACTCCGCTTGCTGGAAGTGATTTGATAGCCAAGGCGTTCATGACTACTATGAGCGGAAGACGTTAGTTCCTTCTCTAATGGAATGACTGACCTATGCAACACCCAATAGTCCAATTCCATGTCAAGCGGCGATAGAATGCACTTGCGTCTTATCAAATTACATGATATTCTATTCAACTTACTACAATTACTGCTAGGACGACGCAGAGAATATGCATTGCATAGAGAAGTACAATACGATGGCCAAACAAGGCTGAAGAAGAATTGGCCTACCATTGGGAGAATCCAAGATCTCAATCGGGATCTCAACTCCTCTGGGATTCGAATCAATCATGGCAACGGCGATGTCCTAGTGCTAGCATGACTATTAACCATTGCCATATAACACCCCCGAACTCAATTGCCAGAGAACTCGTCCTATTCAAGGTTCCACGCTTAGAATCCTGTACCGATATGCAGAAAAGAATTAAAATTGGCCTTTTTTATAAAAATTTATTATCGATATAGATAGTAGAATTTAGGTAGATAGGGAGGGGGAGGGGGTAGTAAAGACAGGGGAAATGGGAGGAACGAGAGATACAGACATCGATTGATGCCACTGAAGAGCTGGGGAACGAGAAGGATAAGTTGTGACCCAATACATAGGCCAGAAATTGCGCATTCAAAGTGTACACGTTTTTAAACACACAAATATCATCATCATCATCAGTAAATACCACGCGCAGCACATAAACTTTAACGAAATAAAAGGGAGGAAGGCAGGCAGGCTGCATTCTCTTAAGAAGCAGCCTCGCCAATTTGAGTTCGGTCTTCTTTGGGGCAATTATCACAGTCCTCTAAAACATTTAAACGTGGGTGCTTAATATCTACTTCAATCTCCTCCTCCTCATCCTTTCCAGGTTCCGAAGAGTGCTCTCGTTTCATAATTATCGACGATGGAGCACTTTCACCACTCATTGCGGATGGCAAACGCGGAGGAAGTTGTTCTCTTAAAACAAAATCATGTCCATCACCATAAACGTTAAAATCATCTTCCGGGGACATTGCCTTCAAATAGGAGTCGGTGTAGGGCCAAGGAAGATACTGCCCATCCTTGTCACCATCCACAATTCCGGCATGAATATCACGATGTTGGACATGAAAGTGAACTCCGCGTCTATGGAAACAATACGTGCCACGATATTCATTGAGGAATCGTGAGAATAACCTTCGTTTTTGGGCCTCAGATTCACGAATTTCATCATTACTTAGAGGAATTTCGTTAACCTGCATTTCGGATTGCTCGAAGGCACCCTGTATTATGTCATTGGGTGGAACCGGAGTAGTTAAAGAGACTTCAATTGTGGGATTAAGTGCACCCTTGGGCATCCAACTGGCATCCGTCATAAGGTTCCAATTGTCGCCCCTGTCAGTGTGAAAGAGACGAGTTAATTTGGTGGCATCTTTGGTTTTCCGGTCTTTGTTAATTTCATCTTCAGGGTTCGACCCAATGTTGATCAAACTAAGGAAAGAAATGGAAAACAGTGAAATGATGTAAAATACTAGAAGTCAAGAGTATTAAGGCAGAAAACTTACTCGGTGAGGTGCATAAGCTCACGGAAGCGCTGTTCAAAGGCAGAGTTTGTTTCCTCCATGGCACGTTCAGAGCGATCGATTGAGTAGTCATGGGAGACGGTAACATGAGCACCTTGAATCTTACGCCATAGGGCTTGTTCAACCAATTCGTTATACGCACCAAATGGTCTGTTTTAGCAAAAAAAGAGCTTGATGATATGTAGCCAATGGGTGAGTCAAATCCTAACTAAGAGGCAAATAACTTAACCAAGTCATTCACACTAATTAGAGCACAAATGAAAATTACAACAACAAAGGCGAATATAAAATATGGATGACGCAGAGATCCGTATTCCCAATGACATAAAAAAACAGATTCATTTGTAGTAAAAAATCCGGAAGTATTGACATGAATACCAAGTCATGGAGAAATCGCCTAACCCCTCCCCCCCCCCCCCCCCCCCCTAAAGGAAACCTTAACCTCAGGCGATAATAAAATCCCAATTAAAAATAACCTCAAAGAATCAGACAATAAACGAGCAAAAATTTCTAGGCAATAAAACTTTAGGCTTTAAATAAATGCTAATTTTGTTAAAATTAGGGATAGAATTTAATCGTAAGAATAACAGGCTGACATTAAATAAAATGAAAATTTGCAAAAATACGTCCAAAAGTACAATAAAATCATTAAGGAGCTCACTGAACCAGGAAGTAGCTGTAAGTTCTTGAATTACGATAGGAACTGACTGATCGAAAGTAAGTTAGGCAAAACCCCGAAACAATCGAGCAATAGAGGTACAAAACCTACTCCGGTGAATGAATGAATGAACGCTAAGCAAACGCCCTCCCTACAGATCCCAAAAGCCTTTGTCTTGCCTTTCTGGAAGTCATGATTCAAATGCACCAGCTGACGCACATATCTATGCACCTCATGACAGTTGAGTACGATATGCCTACTCCCATTTCATAAATCAGACTTACGACAAATCTGGGAGGTAAATTAATTGCACAAAAACTATAGCCCCCCCCCCCCAATCATTAAATTTCCTATCAATATGCAAAGATAATTTAAATCCAATCTATGTGCACAAAGAATTTCGTCTTCAAGATATTTGCGCAGTTATTTGACTCCAGCATATCATGAGAAAGGATGTTATTTTAAAGATAATTGGGAAAGACAAACTCACCGATAGGTAATAAACAAATTCTCATCGTGTTGAGGATAGAGACTAGCAGCGACAGCCAGCCAATTCCAGATAGCAAATTTTGGACATCGAATGATGCGAACGCGCTTCAGGGAAGGTGCTGCTTCCAGCATCTTCGATGAATTGGAGGGAACGGTTACAGAAGCGAGAAGAATGCTTGTGAGAATTGGGCAGTTCTCAAGTGTGATGTTCTTGAGACGAGGGACACCAGAAAGCACCAGATGGCTAATTCCAACTTTCTCCAAATGAAGAGTGGTCAGACAATTGAATGGATAGTTGAACGGTTGGCGAAGTGTCAAGACACAAGGGTTGGGACCAATGTGACATCGTAAGTCAGTTGTGTCGACACAAGCATCTCGAGCTGTCCATACTCTCGGTTTGGGTGAAAGAGAATGTTCAGCTTCTGTTCGAGATGGTGCATCCTTAACATGAAAATATTAAGGACTAAATAAAAGCACATTTATAAAAGCAATTCAGAGGTGACACCCATATAACATTTGTGACAATCTCCCGCCACTCTAATCAAATTGGAATGGGATTTCGGCTATCACAAATAGGAGTTTGCTACTCTGGACAGCCCAATAACAGTATTGTTTAATTTCAACCGAAGTCAAACATAAAAATAAACGAGATCTGAATACCAACACCCTTAATACTCGCGACGATTAGAAACGCTAACCAAAACTTATCCTGTGCTTCAATAAAGAGCTATTCCCATTTTGCCCCTACATCTCCCGAGTTCAACTAATGGGGTTACTTACTTGAAATGAGGTTTCCACCTCTTGACCTCTAACTTGACATATGTGCGTATCACTACAGGCCATCAGGACACTGAGTTTTTCTTCTTGCACCAGTGGTGAAGAGGTTAGCGTACTTGTCTGTGAAGTCAGAGATTATAGCACACTGATATTCATCAGGAATCGATCCAATTTATAAGGCAAACACACATCACAATATATAGGCTACTAAGCAACTAATGGGCTGATAGTCCAATTAATAAATTAAACCTACTTTGTGTTAATGCGATGTCTAATTAGAAGGAAAGGAAAAAAATAAACACGCGTGCAATATATCAGCACCAAAAAGTGAGGAACACATGACTTCTCCTTTTTTCGACTTGCACTAGGTACTATCTCTGTGGGATAAATGGTAACGTTCTGAACACCCTGCACACGCAGGGGAAAAGTGTAGTTAAGCAGAGATTCACAAATTGCGAAGCAGACAAATTAAATTTCATGAAATTAACTATTCACAGCCACATTGGTAGGGGAATAGTTGACTAATTCAAATCCAATTGAATATACAAATCGAATATAGGAGATTGAGTTATAAAAGATTTCTGATTAATTCACTTATAGATAAATTAACCAGATAGAAAGAGAATTAGATTAAAAACAAACTCACAGGTATATCTGAACTGCAACCTTGGCACACTGCAGACCCACAAAATGATTTCACGAAACATTTTGCATTTTTCAGATCCTCGAACGCTCTAAATTTGACAATCATCTCACCCCAAGAGCCACACAAAATCTTCTGAAAAAGATTACTATGCTGAGGCAACATAAAATGAGGATGGAAAGCCAGAGGCCCACCGATTTGATATAGTAAGTTGAAGAAAGCAGTCGACTCCGACTCTGTGCTAGTCCGTTTAGATGGTGAAATCTCCCATTCACCAGTTCCTTCCGCACATATTCGATGGAAAAAGTCCCATTCTAGAAGACCACAAATACAAGTTTGTGTGGCTCTAGAAGCAAAACAAGTTTCATCCAAGTCTTCGTCCATGGTTTCTGGAGGACTTGTCTGGATACTACCATAGAGAAGACGAGGAATTCGCAGCAAATTACCCACAGAACCATCCATTTGAAGGAGAGAGGTAAGATAAGTGTGTGTGCGAAGGGTAAAAAAGATATCGAAGGGTTGAATCGGTAGATCAACGACTCGGGCCCCTTGGAAAGCAGGCACATGAGCGACGTCCCTCACGGACGTTCCCATACCAATTCCAAACTGAGCAAGTGAAGGATGTGCAATAAGTCTTGAGGCAAGTAGATCAGAGAGAGTTAGAAGAAGACCAAGCTTCCGATAGTCCGCATTTTCTTGATCCAGGAATGAGAAAAGAGGTCCGACTTCGGTGGAATTTGGGTTAGATAGCCATCGAGAGGACCAATTATAGACAGCGGTTTGGCTATACATTGCCCTGGTTATAGGGAACATATCACGAAGAATGAGAGATTCCAAAACACCAAATGGGTCACCTCTAGCTATCATATTCTCTAATTCAATCGCCGCGAATCCAGGACAATTTTCAAGAGTAAGAGACTTGACTGGCACTCCAGGACGCATTGTTGCTAACCTGAGAATTAGTTGGGAACCGATGGGTGAAGGACTTCTTTGTTGTGCATTGGAAGGTTGGTTTTGTCGGTGCTGGGCCGTTTCTAACTGTGGTTGAGCAGGTACATTTGAATGACTTGGCTGTAGACCCAGAGCTGTAAGAGCGCTGATGGCATTAACATAGAACTGCTGAGATGGATGAGAAGGTACCGAAGTAGGAGCCGTAGGAGGAATCGGTGCTGATGGATTCGAACCCGGATTATTTGTAGGCGAGGAGGGAGAAGGGAAAGAAGCAAGAATTTCTTCACTTCGCGGAAAACGCGTGATGTAGGGTGCTTGACGAAGAGTTAGACTGTTGATACGTGGACAAACAGAAAGAGCTAGAGTTAATCCACGGTCGGAAATATTGCAGAAAGGGCTCGTGGAATCAGGGGAGTCACACAGATCCAGATCATTGATCTCTCCAGGAGTGAGACGCGAGAGATAGGGATCCTGATAGCCTGCACAACAAGAGAAAAAGGAGCAATTAACCTTCAGTGAACAGACGTGAACACACGCAAATGTGTCATCAAACTTGAACGCACTACGCATAAAACCCTGTACCCAGTTGACCTTAAGGTCATCTTCGTCGGCTTATGGATGAGATTCGAACACGAACGCGGAATGATTTCAACATTCAGATGTAATAAAATGGGTTTTATGGGTTATTTATTATAAAAGATTAACCATAGAGAATAGTCCCGTAGTTAGAAAATTGAAATGTGCCAATTTTAAAATTCTTATTAGACTGGACACACCTTTTAACTTATAATGGAAGCCAGAGTTGAGGGATTTAAGCAAAAGGTTTCGATAAAATACTAATATGCTAAAACCTCACAAAATTAAGGAATTAAAAGGAAGATAGGTGAAATGGAATCATGTGGCTGAAAGAGGCCAGATTAATATCTTCGATATAAAACCTTACGTTTAAAACAGTTTATTACTAGAAAAGTCTTAATCTCTGCTTCTCCATTACTACTTTATACCTATTAAAGTCTGGAGTGTATAAATACGACATCTAGTCCTGATAACTAAGCAGGTTAGTAAGTGGAAGCAATAAAAAAATGGTAGATGTAAAGATAAGTGACGTGCATTAAGGAGATTGGCCCAAAATGGGATGATTCATACAGAAAACACAAAGGACTCATCTCCCGAAACGGGAGAGCATAGGGAAAAATATCTTGAAAGCGAGCTGATAGAATAAAATTTCTAAGTAAAGCACTGTTCATCACAAACATATGCGCCAAGTCATAAAACCAGCTATTATTAGTTTAAATGACAAAGTTATCAACTTTTTGACCTGCACAACTCATTGAAGTTCAATAACTTGGGGAGTCATATGACATAGCAGGATGGGGTGAGAAAAGGAGGTTATCCTCTATATCGCTTCAACGACATAGTGCTAATGTGAGAGCAAATTCCAGATATGCGCATGAGGAAATAAGTCATGTTGCAACACAATTCAAATTAGCAGAGCTACATGAGGATGTGTAAGCACACAGTGCAAGAAACACGCCATCCTTCAAACCCCGGCCTTATATTGCTTGACAGTTTATTTGATCAAAGTCTTAATAAACCACTTTTATAAATCCATCATCGTAACTTTCACACACAAGCTTAATAACCAGAACTAGAAGGCGTTAAAGGATTTAGTCTTGAATCCTGCCCACTATTAGGAGAGATGGATGGGGAATTTGGTGGAGGAATGGTGTTGCTATGTAATCCAAGCTACTACAGAGGCTACAGTTGTTCAGAGCAAAAGCATAAGACCTATAATTTAGTGGCGATTTACCTTTCACTAACAATTTTCTATTTATAGCTGGATATATGATTGGAAATTACCAAGCCAGTAAAGGAGTCCACAGAAATGGAGTTTCGAAAAAAACTAGCCCATCTTTCAGTTTACCTAAAATTTAGAAATACGAGAGCAAAATTTGAATATCTAAGTATAATAGAGATAAGGGAAATCGGTTTTTATACCAGTGACTGAGAACATACAATGGTGCGATGAAAATGACCTCAACCAAATAGCATGGCGTGAGGAGAAACATAAATGGTCATGCATGCTTCAAGTACAGCAGGTACATCCACAACAACGCTGAAATAAGCGTTTAGAGACCTTGAGAATTGAATACGAGTCTAAAACTAAGTCAACCAGCACCTATCAGAGAAGCCTAATTTGTGTTTAGACCTAAACGACGCGAAGCAGTGTCTCATATACACCTCAGTGCTGTTGTTTTTTAATCTTGCATCGTCTTTTCACCGCAGTTTTGAAGAAAACAATAGAAAATAATGAACAAGAGGATTCAATGCCAATGCTCAAAGAAGTGGAATTAGATGAAGTAAATTCATCAAAATTAGGCTTTGTGGACTATAATAATAGGTACATCACATTCAGGTAACGAAAACGTTTAGCCAAGACCGGATTCAAGTTTTAGTAGTGGTCAAATCGACCATTTACAAAGGTCTTGAGGTAAAAGTGATAATTCGCTGGGTAACTTGCTACTTTTCACCATCTGGCCAAAAGCATTAAAAAATGAGAAGCATAAAAAATCGAAACTACGCATTAAGAAGAAACCAAAAAGGGAGTCAGAAAAATAGGTACAGACGCATTCACATAATGGTAATGATAACTTCAACAAGTGACGTAAATACGAGTTAAATCTTGGTCGTATAACAAACTAATTCAGAAAATCAGGTCCCAACCAAACGCCATTAGAAGCAAAAACTTTTATTAGCCACAGAACAATTAAACCGAACTCTTAAACCTTGATGGATGGCCATAAAGTAGCGCTAAAAAACTTCTAATGGCCTGGGCCTTAACTGTAGTTTCCAGGTTCTTGAATCGATAATTTTAAGCAATCTCATGTACAAACTATTAGTCTCGTCTGACCGCACACCATTTTATATAAACACTGCTAACCTCGCTGTTAACTGGAAACTGAAATCAACTCCATTTGGAGTAAACATCTCTTGGGTTGGGTTTAAGGAATCAGACGTACGCTAAAATGGGAACCGTAAAGCCATGAGTCGTAGTGTAATTTCGGTTTAATTATATACACAGTTGAATGAGACGTCGACTTCGGAAGAAGCATGCGTGAGAGATAGACCAGTATGCGCGCCCACGACTATGCGTTTTCCACCAACTACGGAATGTGTGTACTGACAACGACGATCATGGTTTGCGTGGTTAGTCACGCACGCACATATAAGCGCTTTCGTCAACTCTGGCGAAAAGCACAAGCACAGTCTAATGGTGGTGGGGGTTAACTTCTTCTTACCTAAAGAAATTTTCATACTCAATAAAATCTTTTAGGAACTAGATCTCGTTACTTGTTCATAGCACACTGGTGATACAATGATCCCATGTTCTCTATGTGGAGTTAATTATTACCAGGTGGAAAGGAGAGATTTAAAAAAGTACCAGTGCCTCAGATCAAAATGACAAAAAATCATTCATCTGATCACTGAAGATAATCCAATCAAAAAGCAAATTAATTCCTTATGCTGAATGGATAAAATGAATAACAAAACGCTAAGACGTAGTGAAGAATAGACTCAGGAATTCGACTAAAAAATGTGATTGGTGTTAAAATTTGCACCACAAACATCTAGTTGGTTTAAGGGACTCAGGAAAATTAGATACAAAGAAGAGATGAGCTAGACTAAATTATAATAGCATTTCAATTTAACAAAAGACATTTGAATCAAAGCTAATCTAGGAACGTGGGTATTGCGCGCGCCTACACACAATTCACCACTATTAGGAGAGATGGATGGGGAATTTGGTGGAGGAATGGTGTTGCTATGTAATCCAAGCTACTACAGAGGCTACAGTTGTTCAGAGCAAAAGCATAAGACCTATAATTTAGTGGCGATTTACCTTTCACTAACGATTTCCTATTTATAGCTGGATATATGATTGGAAATTACCAAGCCAGTAGAGGAGTCCACAGAAATAGAGTATCGAAAAAAACTAATCCATCTTTCAGTTCACCTAAGATTTAGAAATACGAAAATAGCATTTTAATTCGACAAAAGACATTTGAATCAAAGCTAATCTAGGAACGTGGGTATTGCGCGCGCCTACACACAATTCACCAAATAACATAGAGTCAAAATTAAAATGATACAAAATCATGTTTGTCCTCTTAATAGAGCAAACCAAATTTTCTCCACCTAATTAGCAAATTACAAAGGATTTGGACTACTTCAAATTAAGACGTTTAAATTAATGAAATGATTCCAATTGAACCTAGAACGACCTGACAGTACTTTTATAGAAGAAAAAAAGCTTCGGAACCCTTAAATGGCAATAATTTAAAAAAAATGAAAAAGCAAAATGAAATAAACGTCATAGAAATATAAAAATACATAGAGATAAAAATGTGCATGCAAAACTAACCGATAACAAGACTTTCCAGCCGGGAGAGACGAACTCGAGCGAAATTGAGTGCCTCAAAGAGAGAGTTATCCGAATGGAAGGTTTGGAGTGCCAAATGCGTAAGACTCTGTTGAGCACAGAAAAGGATTAAACCCGCATCGGAGATAGTTATGTCCCTGTCGCCAGTCATCACCAAACGTTGGAGATTGCGGAAGCATGGTGACGGGGCAACAACTTGTCTGTCGATCAACTGCTCAAAAAGACCCTCTGAAACGAAGAGAACAAAGTGAAGAATCTCAATCTTGGACTGATATTCGAGTTACACATTGGAATTTTACTGAAAGTGTACTCTGGCATTATAAGCAAAATAACCTTCCATGTGCTCTTACACAAAGTAAATTAATTCACATGGAGTTAAAAGTAGCCAACCGTAAAACCTAGCGAGCATGCTATTATGTACTTATAAGGTGAAGAAAGGAAAGCTTCAATTAAAGGAAAAAATTCTTCAGCCTACCGACAAGACGAGTTCCAACTAGTTCCAAACGCATAATTTGTGCGGCCCGAGTAAGAAACACAAACAAACGAATAAATCGTATGTAGCGCCTAGGACCCACGCAATTGTTCATCACAAAGGACTGCAGTTTGCTAGCTTGGAAGTGGAGGAAGGGATCTTGGCCCGAGAAGTGAACCTATGTGGAGAAAATTGAACTTAGAGACAAACCATACTTGCATGAATAATGATTCACAAAATATGCTCACCCATTTCAAGTGTAAGTATTTAACATTATCCAGCCTTGGTAAAATGGTTACAGGTACAGCTACAAGATCCAACTTGGTCAAATTTACAATTGCCTCGGGAAGAGAAATAGGCATCGATCTGGTCAAGTGGAAAGGTGAAACAGGGGGGTAAGGAGGTGGCTTCTCCTCAGCGTGAGCCACGAAAGCCGCAGCGGATGCTGCTGCCGAGACTACGGGCGCGAATTCTGATAGTGTTTGACGACGATGAGAAGAACCCACACTTGATCTAGATCTTCGGCTTTGGCTGAATTCAGAACGACTTTGTGAACTTTCTTGATGAATATTAGCCGCGGCAACAGCAAACGTCAGCATAGAGTTGTGCAAACTATTTTCATCGGAACCGCCTTGTTCATGGAGAGCCTGTTGCAGTGGGATTATTCGAGGAGCAAGGATGATGGGAAATACCGGAGGTATAGGGGAACCCTGATTGATTGATGATTCTGTAACTGGTTCAAACCATCTTGCTAAACGAGCACTCCGTGAAGCTTGTTGATTAACAAATCTCACAACAGATTGTGTCGGACCGTTAAAGTTTGAAGATACCGAGGGCTGAATTAAACTCACCGGTGGCCTTGAGGGAATTTCAGGAGGCAATGGAACAGCATATTCACTATCCCAACTGTCCGGTCGATTCCGGAACATTCCATGGAATTTTACAGTAGGCATCTGACGCACAAGAAGGCTCATAAGACCAACATCCATCAATTCAACTGAGCGTAGTTTAGAACAGCTTTGAAAAGCACTGAGAATTCCCTCGTAAGTGAGAGCATGCCTTGAATTTATCACCTCCGGCGAACTTGCCTTATAAATTATACGAGGATAGAAGCCCAAAATGTGGGTCACTTCGGGAGTGCATCGAAGAATATGGCTCAGAGCAGCATCATCCAGTTTATCAGGCAAATAAGCGAAAGGTAGACCAGAACTAAAATTAATCCTCCTGAGCCCAGACAGATGGTATCGGCAGGCATGTCGGAGACGAGTACCCAAACACTGCAAGGCGAAAAGATCTTGCACACTGAGATATTGCACAATCCTAAGAATAAGTTCCATTGGTAGTGTATCAAGATTTCGTGGTTGATTTAATCGATCTTCCCATTCTTTTCTTTGTTGTTCTATACGTAGACGAGAACGAAGGGGATATACATGCACTTCCCCATTGTCACTTATCTCATCACCACTTGATGACATTGACGGAGGTGCAATTTTTGGAGGTTTTGAAGAAGTAATCGATTCAGACTTTCTTTTACACTTTCGATGAGAAGTAATATCACCAGCTAAAGTAAAATATCAAAATTGTTCAAGTCAAGGTTAGATAATGAGCAATATTAAAAATTGAATAAGGCTTACTTTTGCTATTACAGAATTCATCCGAATCAGTTTTGGCAGATTTTTCCTGTACTTGTAAGATAACAGGAGAAGGGGTGTTAGAGAAAGGTTCCATAACGGAATCAATAAGGGAAGTAACAGACGAAAAGCTTGAAAGACTGGTCTTAGGAAGTTGCCTAAATGCTACATCCATAGAAGGATCATTTTTAAAAATGGAACAAGGTTCAGAAGATGTAGAGGGGATTGAAGGATCACAGCTAATTGAACGAGGAACAGCAAGATGTGAAGGATTCGGAGAGGAGTTAAGAAGAGATCTCTGGTTTGTCGTGTTATCGTTGCCACAATTATTTTCAGCTACCGGAGCCGAGTCTGGAGAGGAATCATAAACTGGTTCATGAGGTAACTTAGCGACTTGTTCGTCATCATTTTCACTATTATTTCCTTCCTCATCATTGCTTTGAGGCGTTTGAGTTCCCGATACATCCTCAGTATCAACTACTTCTTGAACTACTGTTTTTAAAACCTCCATGCGGGAATTAGAATCCGATTCACTAGAATCCGTGAAACACTTTCGTGACCTCTCGGAAATTAGTTCGGAAATTTCAGGAGATTCATGTATGCTATTCTCGGCAGAAGATCGATTTCGGCGGGATTTTCGAGGGACTGGTTGGCTATCAGGACTACTAACAGAGGTTCCACTGCCATGGCGATTACGCTTTAGGCGACGATAGCTCGGTTCGCTGGTTGCAGCTGGACACGTTACGGAATTCGATCTGCGATGCAAACCAGAAGGTGATCCTTGAATTGACTGGACGGGAGATGAGGAATCACTTTGAACAGAGGTGCGCATGGGCATTACAAGGTACACAATGGCGTCTGAATTGACAACGCACAACTGAACAAATTAAATAAATATCAAAAGACGCAAAAGTGAAGCTTAATAAACAAAGCTTTTGATAAAATCACTATTCCTATATGAATGTAAGTCTGTTGCCTGCCAGTTAAACCACTAAACACGTAGAGACTTTAAAGATATTTTGGTATTGAGATTAAAGTGCATTTATGAATATATATTTGCAATAAAAATAAATTAGCAATTTTGTGCATATGACTTAAAATTGATCTTGGTTAATGAGCTCTTTTATTCTGATCAATAGGAAATGAAGATTACACAAAGTGGTAACAACTATGGCGATACCTATTGCAAAGTAAATCCCATAGAGTTAACCCAAAATGAGCAGACTGCTAAATAGGTTGGCTTAAACAACCAAACATAGAAAATGTCAGACATATTAATTTGGCAAAATTTACTTAAGATATTTCTTAAATATTGTTAATAATGGTGATTTATGACTGATTATATGTGGTACTATTTTACTGCTGCAACTGTTTATATGCATTAACGATGAAAACTCTGAGTATAAGAAAGTAATTACATTATCTCAAAATTTTAGTTATGGCCATTGCTACTGTACAGACATTAGTTCGAATTTATATATATATATGACAAATAAGAATTTGGGACATATTTTAAAGCGTATTACGAAAAGCAAATGATTAAGAGCAACTTTAAGAAAAAAATCCTAGCTAGATATCAAAGCGGAGCTGGCTTTATGAATAAAATCATATGAATGATAATGCTAAGCGATTTGTAAAGTTGGGTGTTAGATATTTTTAAATGGAATTTTCCCAAAGTAAAGTTATACAAATTTATCCCAAAAAATGAACTTTGAAACATCTTAACGCAATTTCACTCTGCTAATGAATGACTAAACTTAATTGTATTTCTCTGAATAATTGTATTTCTACAAATTCTTTAATATGTTATTCTTTAAAATTAAAACAACCTGGCTATCACTGACACCAATAATTCTCGTCAATTAACACAGTGGTCTAATATAGATAATTAGTCAAAAATATATATTTAATACGAATGTATTAATCTTAAGCAAGTTGAAATCTTTGCGAAGCAAATATCACTCTATTTCATATGTTTATATTGTTGGTAATATGCTGATAAAGGGGAAAACGAACTGGAAATAATTTGTTACAACAAAGTTTATATTTTACATCATAAACTGAATATAAGGTAACTTGTTGCAAGTGATCTAGAAAACTCTTTGAACCAACTCTGAAATTAAGCAACTTGAAAATATTTAGAAGCTCTTAGAATACAACTCGTATATTCAGTGCCATTTATTCCTTGAGTGACTAGAATAATCATGCAAACTACATATTATTTCGAAATAACAATTTTTATATCAGAAATAAGAAAAATATTAAATTTAAATAAGTTTTGTTTTCAATTAAAAGAACATAATGTGTTTTGATATTATAAAGAAAACCTTGAAATAGGTCGTCCAGATGCGCCGAAATTTTGCCACATTCAAATTTCTTACTGCAATGTCTTTACCGTTTTTACCAGGCTATACTTTCAATTCAAAAGCAAGATAACTCTTATCTTTATAAAAAACCAAATACAGATAGGACATGAAAATTTTCGCAAATCGCGTTATTTGGATAAAATAAAGGGAATATGCCATGTTTATAATGACAATAGACCAGGAATTGGGGGTGAACCATTGCCCGGTCAGCGAATCGATCCACCAATGAGTAATTTCCCTAATGAGCATGGAATAAAAGTTCCCACTTGGATGGCTTTTGACAAGAAAGCAAGTTATATTTGAATATTTGTAGCGAAGTCATTTTTATGCCATATATTTCACATTTGAAATACCTAATGTATATTTTAGGTTTTGTGTTTTGATGCTTATATAAAACCGGCAAACGATGACCAAGTAGAACGTTGTGGTGCTAGAAAATGTCAAGTACTGTTTTATCTCGAAGATGATACCGTTCAGGTGATCGAGCCTAGAGTTGTAAATTCTGGTCTCCCTCAGGGTAGATATTTTTATCTGAATTTTATATTATGATAAATTTTATGTAATTTGTGTCATAATCTCAATCTTTAATACAGTTTTTAATTCAAATAAACTATTAGAGCACTTTTATAACTAACTTATTTTTGGAACTTTTTTATAATCGGGTATTTTCGTCGATATTTTAATTTTGTAATTCCTAACTGATTTAAAAGCCTTAATTTATTTCCAATTTTTTGGTGTTAAATATAATTAATAACGTTTATTATTAGAGGATGTTCTAAGACGATTTTATTATTAGCGTTAGTAATGCGAATATCATTAATATACGCCTAGGTACAATCGTGCGACGACACCGGATTCCTAAACCCCCACCAAACGATGCCTGCTTCTATACAGTCGAAGATTTCAATGTTGGTATTGACCTGAAGTTATATGGTCGGGTCTATCGTCTCGTGTCTTGTGACAAATTCACGACGGATTTTCTACGCAGACTTGGAGTTCGTATCAATGAACCTGAAGAAATCTCTTATGATCGATTCGCCTCACTTCGTATTGGTGTAAGAAAGAGCGATAATTGACTATATTGTTTCTTTTGCATAGTGCAAATATTATTAGATTTGGGCGTATTGTCATGCACTATTTATAATGCATATTTAAAACCAGATCCTCTTTTACTTTTATGTTGTAGAATTCGGATGAACCAAAGTCCTGCCAAAAAACAGAGCATCCTTATAAGCTTCAGCAATTTCTTGATCATGATCGTCAAGTTCTGCGATTCAACTGCTTTTGGGATGATTCAGACAGTCTCTATGGAGATGCTAGGAATTTTGAACTTCACTACTTTTTAGCCGACGACACAATTGAGATCATTGAAAGGTTTCAGCCAAATTCCGGACGTGATGCTCTTCCGTGCTTCCTGAAACGTCAAAAACTACCGAAAGGCGTTCCTGATCTGCCACTCCCAGGGGGCGGTGAATCCGTTATATGTCTAAGGGTAAAGGCAAAACTACATCTACTGAATTGGTATTAGTAGGAACGTATTTCACAGCAGTCTTCATTTATCTTTCTAGTCTGGTTGCAAGCCAATTGAGTATTATACGGATATGGACCTCACAATTGGAGCCATCTTGAATGTTTATGGACGAAAATTTATGATTTGTGATTGCGATGAATTCACTAAAGAGTATTATAGAAAGAAGTACAACATTGGTATGCACAATAAGTTAGTAACTTTGCTGTTTAAAGCACTACTATAAGTTATGGCATCAACATAAATGTTCATTCCTCTTATTTGTAATTTAATAATCTAAGACAGTAGCAATTGAAGTCAAGTGTTGCGCTTTCTATTATCTCATATTGTTCTGTAATTATTTGTCCTCTTCACAAGTTTCACCCACTTATTAGGCGTATCCTGTAAATTAGTGATTGCGATTGACTTACTAAGGCTAAATACTCCAAAATCGACGAATGTTTTTGAAGTGCTTGCATAATTGTCCTACATTTTTTCATCCCTCATTAACCTCTATGTTGATTTAAGAAACATTAAAACCCGTTAAACCACTTCGTGCAAAACAAAGGGACTCGAATGAAGACACGGATTCAAATTGCCGGCCACGTATGCAAAGCTCATTCGGAAAATGTGATGAGCGGGGTTTGTATCAAGGGAAATTCAATCCGGATATTCTTCATTTCATGACTCGAATCATTAGCGGAAATGAGGATGCAGAATCTCGCAAATTCGTTCTCACTTGTTTCCCGTGTGATAACACTTTTATGATCCAAGAGCCCGAAATCGAAAATTCTGGTATGGTTTATTCTACTTAAATGAATTTCAGTAGATTCTTTAATCAATACCACATTTTCTTTTAGGATTCAAGAGTGGAAAATATATGGAACGCTGTAAAGTGCTGAAACCTGGACAGTCAGTCGCCAACACTGAACTTCCCGAATATTATTCACCATCTGACGTCTACATTGGGGCTCATTTAGTAATCAATGGTGTAACTTTTGAAATCTGTGATGCAGATGTGCATACCCTGAACTTTATGGAGAATCATCCATCCCAGTTCCATTTTTCTGATTTTTCCAAAATTATGCAAAAGATGAAGTCTCTAGTATGTAATAGGGAGGAAGAAGTAAGACGTATGGCCAAAGAGGCAAATTCGGAAAATTTAGACCTCGAAGGTTTCAAGAGTTTCGTAAAGAAGCTTTTACAAACTAAAACAGAAGAACAGATTTGCTTAGTTTTGCACGAAATCATCACATTGGCACGTCACTATGCTTTAAAGTAGGCGAAATACCCTAATCGCGCTTATATTAAATTTCTAGTGTTCCAGTTGAAATACATTATCAAGATATAATTAGTTTAATTCAACAACATCTTCGAAAATTGTCCTATGAGGGTTTTGACGACTTACTCAACTCGTGCAAATACGAGGACTACAAGAATAAGGGAATTATTAAATCGACTATTCTTCGACGTATCTTTAAGGCCAATCGTCTCCCTATTTCTGACGATATAATTCGTAAACCCATTGAACTGTAAGTCATCCAAATAAACTTGATGTGATATGTCAATGTGTGCAATTGACCTAATAGTATTTTAAATTTTTTTTTAAATCCAGCTTCCAAGATTCTGAGAACGAAATGATTGATTACAAGGAATTCATAAATCAAATGAATTGGAAGTGTAATCCAATTTCTCTTGGAGGATTGGTTTGTCAATACTCGGGTAATCTCGAGGTAGATATGGCGAGATTGCTTGGGGGTAAGAAAATTCCAGATCTTAGCGAACAGAGGGTGCAACATATTGCATTTATTGAGGATCTTATTCAGCTTTAAAAAGACCTTGATCAAGCGAGCACTAGAGTTTAGTGCTAATTTCACTGAATTAACCAATAAAAATCACAGATCATAAATCTTTTGCTTATTTAACTACAGGGTGGCTACCTTAAATGAGGTCCGGTTTGAATGCAGAAAGGCAAATTAATATTGCATTTAAAAGTCTTAAATGACGAATATTATGCTACCCTGGGCAAGTGTTCAATGTCACTTTCACTATGACATTTGTTACCGGATCTCTTTTAATTTGGCCACTCCACTACATTAGGGACTTCTGAAAATTAAGATGTACAAATTTTAAATGACATTTTATTAAGAGGGACACTTTATTCTAACTGAGGTTTGTTGAACTGTTCTTTGTACAAATGGACTTACTTTTGCAGCTGAAACTGGCTTACACTTTCCCCTTTCGATTTTTTATCGATTATTTCTTAATTGTCACTCATGGCATCTTCATCGATCTAAACTTGGATTAGTCAGTACCCAAGGGTTTTAATTAAAAGAAAATTGATTTAATTTTATTAGTATTTTGGCATCTTTATCTCACGGATCAAAACTTCGATAATTCCCTCTTGTAAAATATGGCACAACGTAAATAATAGTAGCGGGTTGCTACTTTATTAAAGCCTGGCTAACTCAGAAATCTCTGTGGCAGATTCTCCAACATCTAG